AATTAACATTTGAATTAGCTGATTATGTCTAAAGATTATGTGTACATGCATCATCAGTACTTATACGCCGAAGAAAGAACAATTTGTTTGCTGTCAAACCTAATGCATTAGCTTCCCCAACCACAAACAACAAGGGAATTGCACAAAGCTCGTCTTGTTTGTGATGGCTGGTCACAAGAAGTTGGTGTAGATTGTGATGAGACTTTCAGTCCGGTAGTTAAACCGGCCACTATTTGTATTATTCTCAGCTTAGCTTTGGCTAAAAAGTGGTCGATTCATCAATTAGATGCCAAAAATGCCTTTCTACATGGTGATTTGCAGGAAACTGTATATATGCATCAACCTCCGGGCTTTGTTGCACTACTAGAAATAGGCCGATTTAAGACGGACCAGTTCCGACGGACATGTTTTTCCGTCGTAAATTCAAATCCGACGGATTTTAATTCGGTCGGAAATTTACGACAGATTTCCTACGGAATACAAATCCGTTGGAATTTATGGGCTTTCCGACGGAATATTCCGTCGGAAACTTAATCTTCTGACGGAAATGAAATCCGTCGAAACGTTATGTTTCCGACGGAAAAAATATCCGTCGGAAATTTCCGACAGAATATTCCGTCAGAATATTACGTCGGAATATTCCGTCGGAATATAATTAAATAATAATAAAAAAAACAAACCTAAAAACCCTAGAAAACCCGGTTTCCCCTCCCTTAACATTTCTATTTTCTCTCTCCTCTCCTCTCCGCCTCTCTTCTCTTTCTCCTTCCTCGCCCCTTCTCCTTCCTCGCCCTTTTCTCTCTCTTCTCCTTCCTTCTCTTTCTCCTTCCTCGCCCCTTTATCTCTCTTCTCCTTCCTTCTCTTTCTCCTTCCTCGCCCTTTCTCCTTTGTCGCCCCTTTCTCCTTCCTCTACACGCCCCTTCACCTTCCTCTATAAAGTATTTTGTGACGGCGTTTTCTGGCGGATGGTGTGACGGTGAGTGGTGTGACGGTATGAATGGGTTTTTTGGTTAAATTTTACCATGAAAAAGTCTAGAACTAGAATTTTGCATGGTCAAATTTGGCCTTAATAAACCAAATTCGAGTTCAATTCGGGTTTTAAGGTACGTTTTTGTGTTATTAATTTTTTTTTGTTTGATTTTTTGTACGAATTTGGTTTGATTTTTTTGTTGATTTTTTGTACGAATTTAGGTTGATTTTTTTGTCGATTTTTTGTACTAATTCTCCTTCCTCGCCCCTTTTTTTGGTTGATTTTTTTGTTTGATTTTTTCTACGAATTTGGTTAGGGTTAGGGTGGTGGTTGGGTTTTTCGGGTTATAATTAGGGTGGTGGGTGGGTTTTTCGGGTTAGGGTGAGGGTGCTGGGTGGGGGCAGGGGGTATGGTTGGAAAAGGGGTTTGGTGAGAAAAGGGGTTGGACGTGGTGGTAGCGAGTTAAGGTGGTTTGGGATGGTGGTGTTGAAAAGGGTTTTTGGGTGGCTGTAGGTGGTGGTGCTGGATTTTTTTTTTAATTTTTTTTATGCTGTTTCCGACGGAATTTCCGTCGGAAGTTTCTGGCGGATTTTTACCCCGTCGAAAATTTTCGACGGACTTTTCAAGTGGCCGGAGCTCCTCTTCCGACAAAAACCTGTTTTACGACAAATTTTTCCTACAAATTGTTTTACGACAACCTGTTCCGACGGAATTTCCGTCGAAAACGGGTTTTCCGACGGATTTCAGGGTGTTTCCGACGGAATTTTCCCGTCGGAAATGGCCTATTTTCTAGTAGTGTTGATTAGAGAGCACCCTCCTATGTTTGTCGATTTCGTAAGGCTCTCTATGGGTTGAAGCAAGCTCCTCGAGCTTGGTACCAGCGCTTTGCGAATTATTTGGTCGGATTGGGCTTTGTCATTGCTAAAAGTGACAACTCTCTTTTTAATTACTTTCCGGCAAGGTGATGATATGGCATATTTGCTCCTATATGTTGATGATATTATATTAGCTACCTCATCTCACAAGTTGCGTGCAGGGATCATATCTCAATTGCAAACTAAGTTCCCTATGACCAATTTGGGTCATCTGAGCTACTTTTTAGGGATTACGGTGACCCATACTCCTTCTTATTTGCTAGTTTCACAGGAGAAGTATGCACGGGAGGTCTTAGAGCGTGCAGGTTTGGGCCCTTGTAAACCTGCAGCTACTCCAATTGACACTAAGTCTAAACTTAGTGCAGATGCAAGTCCACCTTTTCGGGATCCTACTTTGTATCGCAGTTTAGCAGGTGCTCTTCGGTATCTCACTTTCACTTAGCCTGATATTGCCTATGTGGTACAACAGGTTGTGTCTTTTTATGCATGATCCTTGAGAGTCTCATTAATGATGCATTGAAAAGCATTTTGCGTTATGTTTAGGGTACCATTGATCATAGCTTACATTTATATACATCTGCTTCTCATCGTTTGATTACTTACACTGACGCTGACTGGGGAGGTTGTCTCGATACCAGTCGTTCCACATCGGGTTATTCCTGCTTTCTTAGGGATAACCTCGTTTCTTGATCATCTAAGCGTCAACATACTATATCTAAATCGAGTGCACGCAGAAAAAGAACATCGAGGCGTCGCAAATTTTGTCTCTGAGGCATGTTAATTGAATTGGCTTCGCAATCTTTACTTGAGCTACATTGTCCTCTTCGACAGGCTACTAATGTATATTGTGATAATGTTAGTGCTATCTACCTTTCTGGCAACCCGGTACAACACCAACACACCAAGCATGTCGAGATGGATATTCATTTTAATTTGTTCGAGAAAAGGTTGTCATGGGACAAGTTCTGGTTCTATATGTTCCTTCTAGATGTCAGTTTGCGGACATTTTCACAAAAGGCCTACCACAAGACTTATTTTTGGATTTTAGATCCAGTCTTAGCGTACGACCTCCTCCTGCTATGACTGCGGGTGTGTGATAGATATTATAGTTATGTTAATATTTGTCGCAGATTAAAGAAAATATTTGTTTTTATTCTGTATCCTTATCGTACTAGGATTATGAGTCTTGTAACATTCTACATACATTGATCAATGATACACACTCCACATTGTGGTGTTTTCCTGAAATCCAACAGATAGAAACAAACTTGAAATAATTTGAGGATTTAAATAAAGATAAAATTTGATAGGAAATTGAAGATGGAAAGATACATAGAATAGGGAAGACTTTTCAATTGTAATTAATTTCAATTTAGACCCTTTATTTGTAAAGACTAATATTGTCCATCCATTCAATTGACTTTGAAAATTATTTAAATACTCGTATAAGATAAACAAGGAAAAAAAAACTGTTTGGAGTTATATTAAAAAAATAATAATAATAAAAAAATAAACCTGCTTGTTACAATCGAATCTCCATTGTTTTTGAAGTTTAAGCCTTGAAATTGAAGAAACTAGTATGCACTACGCAGTCATAAGTCTGAATGTTGATTGTTGTGTTATTAATAATTAACATAGGAATATTTATGATCTACTATTTTCTCATCAAAACTAGTAAATGAACCATCATCTTCCTCATATATAAAGACAAAACCATAAACTAAATTAGTAAATAGTCCTAAAGTAGAAATTACAAGTTCTACGAACTGCATTTAAAAACAGAGTATCTCGTCTCGCTAAGGAAGATGATCTAACTTTTAATGCAAATGAGGGAAGATAATATGTAATTTTAGGAAAAATTGCGAGGAAGGTCCTTTTAAGTGATTGATCTTGTGAGGAAGGTCCTTTTTATGAAAAAGTACCACAAAAGATTCTTTTATGGCAATTGAGTTGTGAGAAGGGTCCTTTGACCAAACTCCGGCGTTAACCTACATTCCGGCCAAAGAAAAGAAAAGGTATACACACAAAGAAAAAAGCTAAGGTATTATTATACGTCCATCTGTATATTGTCCTCATCTGTTGCAGCTTGGATAAAGGAATTTATAAAAAATAGAAAGTCAAAGCAATCTATTTGATGGTGTTATCCTCATTATAGCAACATTTTATGTCAAAAAAATGACATCATACCATATTGATAGAATGTGTGCAGACTTAACAAAGCTCCTATTGCCATATGGTTTTGGGATGGAACCTCCTTTGTTCTTGTAAAGTGAACTTTCTCTCTTGATTTGTGGATACAACTCAGACCCTTATTTACCAGTTTTCCCAATCAATTACACCTCTTATCAATGAATTATACATTAATAAATAAACATTTGGGGATTTCATCTGGGTAACAACTAAAACTGCATAATCTATCTGATTAAGGTAATAGTAGACACACTTCCTTGAAGGAGAAACCCACCTCCACCGTGCATATAATTTGCGAGAAAGGGAATAGGGACTGATGTTCAGAGGACGACGGGGAATGAAGGGAGTTGCTTGGCTAGGGAGGGTGCTGCTGCTGACTGCTGTTTTGGTGGAGATCGGGGAATAAGATTGTTATTTTTTTTATAAAAAAAAAAACCAATCATAAAAAGACACGTGGAAAGTAACCTTCTCCAATAGATTACCAACTGAATAATCCGGTAAATGGATTGTTTTGAGTAGATGGGGCGCAAAGATGCACTAGATGAAAAAGGTAAAAAGGCACCGGTTCAAACCCCTCCTTTGGCACCGGTTTTGAACCGTTAGGGATTTGAGGGATGCCAAATCCATGAAAATTTGGCACTGGTTCAAAACCGTTGCTAACTACATGATTTGGCACCGGCTAACCGGTGCCAACTACCATGGTGCAATTTTTTTATTTTTTTTTCAATACTATTTGCACCGATTCAAAGCAAGAACCGGTGCGAAAAACCCAACTTTAGGCACCGGTTCTTGCTTTGAACCGGAGCCAAAAGTCTCAATAAAAAAATTTAAAAAACTTTTGACACCGGTTCTGGTCCAAACCGGTGCCAAAAATACCCCAAAAAAATAAAAAATATTTTTTTTTTTGCATTTTTTTCACTTCAACTGATATAGAAACATTAACATATATATATAAAGTTACATATTTTCATTAAAAAAGGCTGTAATATTACAATTTTCGTCCAAAAAAAATTAAATAATCCAGACTTATCTCTGAGTACCTTTCTTGCATCTCATTAAATAATCCAGATTTATCTCTGTGTTTTTGCTCTGATGGATGTGGCTATGTTTCTGCTCTGATGGTTGTGGCTGTTCTGCTTCTGTGGCTGTGTTTCTGCTCTGTTCAAGCTGGCTGGGTGATTGGTTTTGCTTCCGTTCAGGCTGTCTTGTGCTGGTGGCTGCTCTGCTGGCTGATGTGTTGTTGTATGTTCAGGCTGACCTGCTGCTCTGCTGTTTGCTGTGCTGCTGTGCCTCTGTCCTGTTCAGGCTGGCTGGGTATCTGTTAAATACCTTCTTCATCTCCTGCTGGTATTCCAAAATTTTAGGTTCAGTAACAGTCCGGAGTAATTTGACTAGAAAGCCATGCTTCACTGATGAGTTGGTATCTACAAATATTGCGATTTTCTTGTAGTCTATGACATCTTCAAAAGGCAATTCAATATGGTCACTGATTATAACTGGAATGCACAGGCTTACAATGGCATCAAAGAGACGACAAGCGGATGGAGTATTGCCAGCAGGATGCAAGCAGAATCTTGATGTGTGCATTCCTTGTGTAGCTGCACGTCAACTCTCTCTAGACTGTGCACCATGCTTTTTAACAACATCGTCTTCATTCTCAAGAATTTCAAAAAGCACATCACGAATCTTTCCATCCTGAAAGCAAGATCAGATGAAACACATAAATTCACAGGGAATAAAAGAACATAAAACCTCATCCCTTCATCGTCCATCCACTCCTGAAAGGGCTGAAACATATATACATCAATAAAAGAACAGGTCACAGCCCTGCTGACTGCTGAGTTGTCTAAAACCCAATCAAAATGATCAGCTATCGAATGTGCTCAGCTCAACACTCTCCTTCCAACCCTTTTTCATCAATTCATAGGAAAAATCTATGCATACATAGTTAATGATTAAATGATAAAGATTTCTATCATTCTCTCTTTCCATCACATGGACCTTTCCATATCCTCATTATCTCTCTTTACCTCACTGTAATAGATTCAAGCCAAGCATGGACAAAAACAGAGAAATGCAATAGAACAGTAAAATAGAGAAGAAAAATTGAGGCTTTAATTAATAGAACAACAATTTACACAATCGATAGGTTTAGCCTATCAAGCTCCACAGAGTATTTAGCTCACAACTCTTCAAATAGTGAAGGATTCGCTCCCAAAATCTGCCTACCTTTTCCTTTCCCATCCCTCTCTATTTACACTAAAACTAAGACTAATAACCTGATGATACTAGACTACCCATACTGCCCCTTAAGTTAGTTTATTAAACTCTCAAAGTTCTCCTTATTAATTTGAGCCATACCTCTATGTCGCAAATACTCATTCCATTGCAACACTGTTTTTTATGGAAGCATCTTATTGATGCAACTTTTCTTTATTTGCATATGATTTCTCACTATCTCTTTCCTGTCACATGGGTCCCTCCTTTTATTTCTTTCTATCTCTCCTCATCAGGTGAGTTCCTTAAACTCCACACACCCTTTAGATATTGCAATAATAAAGTAATGGAGTTTGAGTTCAGACGGAGTACTAGTTATCAATTTCACTCCTAATGGTTTTAGTATGCTAATGTAGCATCACAAATCATTAAACATTAGGCCATTGGTTCCTAATTCTAACATAACCCTTCACCAGGAGTGGCAACTTCTCATAGAGCCTTTACACATAAATAATAAAAATTAAAAGAATGAAATACTCTATCTTGCCCTAGAGATAATAAAAATTAAAAGAATGAAATACTTTAAGAAAGGGGACAAAGTGATTATCATTCTTGTATGATTACATCGTATAATCATAGGCTTATAGCCTGTATGATGTGTGGCTCCCTTTGTTGTACTAAAACTCCATCATGTAGTCTCTAGTCAAACTCAGTCACTCACCTTAACCCATCATCTCACTTACTTCAACAACAGCACACCTCACAGTGATATTTTGTTGGCAGGAAATGGGCATGGAAGTGATTCTGGGCTCTTGTTTGTAATTGGGAATAAATACGAAGTATAATTTTATCAGCTGTTTATCGGGGAAAAAGAAAACATACGAATTATAACTATTTGTAAGTACACTCTTTCCACAAAGTTAATTTCAAATAAGGTCCCTGCTTGACTTACACAACCAAATCAAGAAAAAAATGAAGAAAAGAAAATGACAAGCACTAAGATTCCGTCACTAAATGCACCAAGAGATGCATCAAATGACGACATGTAATTCCTCTAAACTCCAAGGAAAAAAGAGAACAATGAACAATGTCCAATTGTCCAGCAATGACACTATTATAAAACAGATCCAACACCTACAAGGCTACAAGTATGGGCTACCAAGTAAATTAATATAAGATGTTGCTGGCTAACTTCATCCTAACCCTAAAGATAGAAGGAAAAAGCAAAAACTATAAAAATACTAAGTAAATCCAGTTAGAATAATCGATCCATCTTCCATAATCGGGTAAGAGAACTACAAGCATCAAAATTCAACAATCTTACTACACATGACTCATCAAATGTCCTACAGACACAAATTAATCAGCCAGTGAAACTCGTCATAATTCACAATAAATATTGACATGGGTAAGAGAGGTAAAACGGTCCAATTATAAAGCTCCTGTTTGATCTAAGCAAACATCATGAAGCTAATATGTTATGTGTGTATCAAAAAGATTCGAAAACTACAAAGCTAATCAATCGGATTAACTAAACAACACAGACCAATCTAAGCCATCAATTAAATAAATCCAAATAAGGAATTGTGTTACAAATTAACCATAAGTAAAACAGCAACAAGTCAGGGATGCATCACTTGAGTACACATTAAGTATACTCTAGAAGTCTAAAGCACCAATTAGTCACCTAACAACAGATAGAACTTAAGACTTTAAGCAACCTGAATGCAAAAACAATAACACAGAGCTGCAACTTATCCCCTAATAAGCTATCCACAAGACAGATTGTTTAGAAGTATTTTGCACATCCTCTATCAACTTTAAGAAAACCATTGAAATTGATAGATGAACTAAATTGCTAGGATAACACTTACCATCACTGGGATTTGTTGACCCATAGGCAAAATGCAGCAGAAAAACGAACACGAAAACAAAGGAAACTTCAGCCCAGATCTTTACACCTGGGCAGTTCATCAATATGTATCTTCCAACCCATTCATCCAATGCTCAACCTCTTTGATAACCCACTTCAATCCCTCAAATCTACAAATCTAACTAAAATGCAGCAACAACTTTTAATCTGTAAATTCAAGGTAACACAATAAGCATAAAAACACTGCCTCAACTGTAATAATTTCAGCAAATTAAATTCTAACTTTAACCTGATAAAGCATCAAATTAATACACCTAAATTTATCAGTAAATTATCAAATTCAACAACCCCACAAAATTAATTTAGTAATTCTCTAATTCATAAGCACAAACAAAGAGCCCCAGTAATCAATGAACTTAAATAAAATAACTAATTGAATAGATCTCTAATTCAAATCGGTCACAAAACTAATTCAATAAAAAAAAACCCACAAAAATGATCACGACAGATCTTCATAATTATCAAAGTAACACTAGAAAAACACAAAATTAACAAGAATTACAAACACCCAGATCAATCATTTCCATCAATCAGCTTCAAGATTATCAAAAATGATATGAATAACAAATAAAATGATATGCATGCTTCAGAAATTGGCCGATAAAAAATGAAATGAAAACCCAGATAAGAGTAATAAACCCTAATATCTTAAAAAACGACAGAAGTTGATCGAAATTACAGAAATTAAAAAATCGATAAGTACTTTAATTAGGAGAGTAACATAGAGTGAAAGATCGAGCAAGATGAAGAAACCTCGAGAAAGAAGAAGTGTAGCCTGCTGATATTAGTTTGCCTCTTTGTGTTCAACAACATCAATTTAATCACCACCAACTCCAGCCTCCAATTATTGCAACATTAGTGTAATTCGAAACCCTAGAAATTAGAGAGAGGTGATTGGATATGAGATTGAGATTTAGAGGTATAACAAGGGCGATAAACCCTAGAAAACGATTGATAGGGTAAAAGGAGGCTAGAGGAGAGAGCACGAAAAGAAAAGGGGAGAGAGAATCTGTGAGCGGTGCATGGTGGTTGCGGTTGCGGCTGAAGGTATGGTTGAGGTGAGAGAGGAGAGCATATGAAGAGAGAGAAGAGAGAGAATGGAAATGGAAAAAGAACAGGAAAGAGAATGAAGAAGCAGAGTAACGCATACCTCGATTTTTTTTTTCCTTTTTTAATTGGCACCAATTTGAACTGGTGCTAATTACCATAGTTGGCACCGGTTTAAGGCGAACCGGTGCCAAAACCGAATTTTCAATCCCGCCCATTATTTTTTGGCACCGGTTATAAAGAACCGGTGCTAGGGGGGGGGGTGCCTATTTCATTTTTTCTACTAGTGATGGGATTATATATTTCCAGATTTTGAAAAGGTGGGATTGCTTTGAGAAGAAATAGCAAAAGTGGGATTATAAAATTAGTTTCCATTTTTCCAAAGAAATATTATGTGCGTTGTCTCCTGTATTTTGGGAAAGTGAAGTCCAAGCTATAGATAATATAGTTATAGTTCAAAAAGAGAAATAACACAACAAACCAATTGAGGCAAGACTTTGAGAATTTTATTAACCATCGGTTAAAGTTGAAAAATACAATCCAAGCCATATCATATATAGAAAATACAAGCAAGAAAGGAGAGAAGACAAAGCAAAATAAAGTGGATCTCAAACAACAAACACAAGGAAATTGAAATAGAATGTGTAACAAAAGCTACACATGCAGTACACATAGCACACAACAAGTATGAGCTCCATAGCCGGCGTCGCGTGCACTTTAGATCGAGTTTATAGACATTATATTGTGATTGCATTCACTACTGGCAAGTGAGACCACCACCCTGGCTAGTTGCGCAAGTTAGGCCAGGGCAACAATCGAAATAACCAGGATAACACTCATGTCCTGCGTGATCCTCACATATGGGATCATCTTTACATTTGTACACCATGTCCGCAACTTCAACGCAATGCAAGGTTGGATCAGTAGGGCAGCATAATGTGTTAGGAGTGGTACATAGATCATCATATGCTGCCGGACACGCGCTTTCTCCAATGTGGATTTGCAGCATCATCACTATAACATAAAATGGAAGACTTGAATTAGTAGTCATGCATATTTATCTATGTCTAAACACAATTATATATAATGGTTGATTCAAAAACATGCATGATTATTGAAAACAACAGTAAAAGTATAGAATGCAGGATTTCAAAACAAACCTAATGCAAAAACGACCAAGGTAGCTAGCATGATTCTTTTGGAGGAAGCCTTGTTTTCCATTTTTGGTATTTTTGTAACTTTACTTTTCACAACTATTTTTTGTGATGTACTCTAGTAGTATACAATGGAAGGTTTCTTTTATTTGTGAGTTTCCTAGTTATGTTTCCTGCTATTTATAGGAGCTTTCTATTAGTTTGTTTATGTATTTTATTCAACGATAAGTTCTACTATGTCGCCACGGTGTGTTAATGTGTGTGTTATTAGTATATAAGTATTTAATTATATATGTTAATTTGATAGTTTTTCAGCAAATTAAGTATATTATAGTATATACATTTAAATAAGACTACCATTTTATTGTGTTGACATTTTATGTATGTTGCTAGAAAGCCAAGAATGATGCCAATCCGATTAATACTTTGATTGCTTTGACTTTAAATTTCTTGTTCTTTTTTACTATATTCATTTGATCAAGTCACAATTTATATATGATTATCATTTTAATAATAAACCATTAGTAGTTGTCTTTCATCCTTTAAACACTTTTCCTTTATAATGAGATAGAAGAAGCTACGTAGTATTTAATTATACTTTCTCCGTTTTTTTAATATCGCGTCACTTGACTTTTAGGGAAGTTTCACAAATATTGCATCACTTTCATTTTAAGACAAAAAACTATATATGTTCACACTGCAAATACCAAACATACCCTTACTTTTACACACTTAATTTTTATTTTATCTTTACATTACATGGACAATTTTGTATTTTTACATTTCTCTCTCTTAGTTTTCCCACTACCAAATTTTGCCTCCAAAACCCCTATGGTGCAATAAAAAAAGAACGGGGGAAGTATATATTAATTAATTTGATAGTTTTTCTGCAAAATACATATTATTTACATATATTTAAATAATACCAGTTGCGCGCGCGCTATCCTAAATTATATTAATTTCTTTATTGCAATTATTCAATTAATGATAAAGTTTTGTAAAAAAAAAAATGATAAAGTTGATTTAATTTAAGTAGCTTGATTATAATTAGATAAGTTTAATTCTAATTTGTGTTGGCAATATATGTATGTGATACAATAATTTTGCATGAATGTGAATATTTGTATCAATTTTTTTTCAGTTTACATCTACGAAGTATATCACTATTTAATCAAGTTGGAAAGCAAAAAATCTCTAGTCATAAGCACAACAAACTCCCATTTTTGAAAGATTGAAAATAGTGTAAAAGTCTTATCTATTCCTTCTTTCATTTTAAAGTAATTTGTTTGGTGTCTAGAAATTATTTTAAATAACATATACAATGTAGATGGATTTTAGATGTCTTTCTTCCATACTTCAAATCTCGTATTCAATATCTGAAGTATACAGTATCAAGGAATTCATACCGCCTAAGAAACAACAAAGTAGTTCCTGCATAACCTTTGTGTGACATTACCTGAGATTTTCAAACCATTTGACCAAGGAAAATTGTAAGTTTGTAACTATATAATGCATTGTAGAGTACCTGAACTTCACATATCTTCGACAATAGCAAGTCATACATTCGTGAAATAATACTAAGAAAGTTTTGCGGGTGTCTTCAGAATAAATCAATAATAACTATATACTAAAAGACACACCAACAATGACGCGTGTCATCTCCTATTGTATTCTTAGTGTTTTTTTTTTGTGAATAAAATTCTATTAAAGAAACAAATCTTATATACAAAAATAATTCCTTAACCTTATACAATAATTACTAAAAAAAAAATTGACATATCTTTAATTAACACAAATATTTATATAGCTATAAAATAAATATTTTGATCATTTACTACATCATTGTATATCTAAACTGTCTATCGCAACCCTTTCTTTTGATTAAAATAAATAAATAAATAAAAATTGTAAGCTATATTTTTATAATTTTTATTGGTTTTAAATAACTAATTATAATGATTATTAAAAATTACCGTGTATGGAACGGAACTAACCTATTAATTATCAAAATTAACCCTTATTCAGTTGTAGAAAGAGAAACTTAAGCCGCAAAGGAGAACAAAACACCGCCTAATTCACAAAGTTGTATTAATAGGATCAACAATTTAATGATCAAAGAGTGTACCCAATTAGCTACTTTTGAAAGATCACCATACTTCATACCCTAATAAACTAAAACCCAATACCTATGAAGGGGAAAAAAAAACCCAAAAGAGAAAGTTGAGAGCTTTCAGAATCTAAAAATTATGAAAGAAAAATAATATTGAATATGAGAGAGAATCACCTGGGAATTTCCTAACCACAAAATTGAGTACAATCATTATTAAACAAATACATAACAAGGATAACATAGCCTAAAAACTGTTTGACCATATATATGCTTAAACCAAACCCATTCCAAAACAATTGAGTAAGTAAAACATTTATCTATGCTGAATATCCAAGAATAATATTGATTGAGAAATAATATTAAGCAAGTCAAGGATATTATAAATCTTGGAGTATACTTAATAATAGGATCATTGATAATTATACATTTTACCAAAAAAAAAAAAAACCACTAAACAGGGACGCGTGTCAGCTTTGGAGCTAGTGTACCTTGTTTTGGTATATATAGAAGATAGATATAGAGAGTACATGGTATATTTTTAGTTATATAATCCATTTTGCTTTAGATACATCATTTTTAAAAACACGGATGCTATCTAAGCTAGCTGACTAATTTTGGAGATAAGAGAGATTGAAAGAAAGAAAACATATGTGATATGTGAAAGATAGAAATTATTCATTAACAAAATTGAAAAATGATGCATATAATATGAAACTTTCTTATTCAGATAATGATGCATCATAAATAAAACGGAGAATTGAAGTATAATAATTACACCATTACAAATTACAATCTCTGTTATGTAAGTTAAGGGGGAGAGTGTGAAAATTAAAGTTAGTGTCTTAATTTTAAACTACCTAAATTGCCATTAAAGTTAAATATTGTTAATTAATGTCATATTTCTATTAAAGATTTCGATCAAGTTACATTAGGAAAATTGAAAAGAAAAAAAAATTCTAATTAATATTCAATCAATCAATTAAAAAAATGAATAATACTTTGATTGGAAAAAAAAATTCAGTTTTTTTTTTTTAAAAAAAATAAACAAGAAAAATGGAAAATTAAAAGAACACAAAATTTTACATTAGTAATCAGATTAATCCCAATCTCTAACAAGAATGTATCACCCTACAAAATCATGTGAAAAAAAAAAAAACCTACTATTAGATATTTATATTTAGACATGAACATATGACAACTATTTCTTATTTTTTCGATTAAATAATTAAGATACATAAATATTTAATACGTGATCATCTTTTAATGATTAGATAGTATAAATCACATGCATGGACCTTTTGCATTTAGCTCCAATTTATTTATTTACTAGATGGAAGCCCGTGCGATGCACGGTTTTTTCATCTAAGATTTTTAATTATTTGATTTATTGTATTTAATAATTTCAGACAAAATTACAAAAGTTTAATATATATTTTTTTACTATAATTTATAATGAATTTATTAAATATAAATAAATTGTAAATATGATATTTTTTCCGTTATATAAAATCTTTAATGTGAAATGATAAATTTTTAATAATTTAAATCCTAAATCATTATTCATTGTTTTAACATATCTTTTATTTCGATAGAATCACCAACCTCGTCCACAACCAACCTACTACATCAATGGATAAATTGAACCGTGAAATGTTAGCCAAATTGAAATTGATATAAATTAAATCTTTACATTTATGTAAAATAAATCAATATATTTACCAATAAATGAAAAAAATTTGCGAGAATAAATGAAAAATTGTTGCGATATAAAATCAAATCTATGCATTGAAATTTTTTCATCATCTCCAAATTAAAAATAACCAAAGCCATCCATATATTAATTATACAACATCTAATCGTACGCCATTACATAAACAAATAATCGTTAAGTATCCTAAATAAATACAATGTAACTAATAATTACAAATATAAATTTAACATAAGATTTTAAAAATTACCCGGACATTGATGACCTAAAACTAACACAAAATTCGCTTGATGGGGTTTGATACAAAGTTTTTATTTGTGTCTTATGATGTGTTAGATCTGCATGTAAAAAAACATTTAGTAAATAAAACATAAACATATAATCGTTAAGTGTCCCAAATTAATACAATGTAAGTAATAATTAGAATTACTAATTTAAACATAGGATTTTAAAAATTAAGCTAAAAATTACCCGTCCATTGAAGACCAAAAATTAACACATAATTACTAACACAATATTCCCTTGATAGGGATTTTATATTGATACGAAATTTCGTTTGTGTCGTCGTATGATGTGTCAATTTATAATGGTAGGTATCACAAATTTTAATTTAATTATAATTAAAGAACAATTTGTATTTCTTATCATAAATACTATCTCAAAATTTATCTTATAATGATAGGTATCAAACTTTATTATAAGCGTTTATCATTTAAATATTTCTTAGTATTTTTTTGTTTTTGGATTTCTTATACTCGTAGTATTGAATTAATAAATTTATCTTTTCCTATATTTTTACTTTATTTTTTTCATTAAAAT